TGGAGCGAATGCGACGAGCTGACCGAAGCTCTGACGAGTTGCTGCACTCTCCCGGATACCTGTAGTATAACTGTTTTTGCGACACCGCCAACCGTGCTCGAACTGTGCAAGACTACTTGAAAATACTAAAGCACGGTTCCGGCACGGTTCAAACCCTATAGGACGAACCGTGTCAAAAAACGGATGGTTACTTGCACAGTTCACTTCCCGGTCCCACGCCCCCTGTAAGTAGCCCCTGATACACTACACAGCAAAATCTATGGGGGGGGGGTCAACCACAGCAAACATTGTACAGTTCACTGCACGGTTCCACGCCCCCTGTAAGCTGCATCTAGTATGCTCCCGGAACTTTCTCACGTTCTTGTTGCGTCTCGTGCGACACCTGCGGCAGGTTTAGCTCAAAAAATGCGAAAGGAGAGGGGGGAGGGGGCGCTGGGGCACCCGGGATGGAAGCGTCAGATACGGCGAAAAATAAATGTTGTGTCACAACTAGGAGGCGGCGCGCATTCTGGGACAAGTGATGACCCCCGTCCAAAGCTGGGAAGTACGTCCGTACTCGTGTTATTTGGGCAACTGCCGTCTTCAGCGGCGAATGAAAGGCTTGAATCTCCAATCTCGTTTCGTGTTTCCACGTCGGCCCCGGCGTCGAGGAGGATGGTCGACACACCGAGATAGCCTCCATAAACGGCCCACATCAGCGGTGTCAAACCCCTTCCGTCCACTGGGTCGATACGGACCCTGTTCTCCAGGAGATAGTTTGTCACATCGATTTGTCCTCCGAATGCAGCAGCGTGCAGAGCAGTCGCCGGTTCACAGTCCGCACAATCACCAGGGTTCCAGAATTCTGCCGTACCGTCGAGATTGACACCCTTGGTCGACAAGGCCTTGACAACAGGAAGATTGCCGTATTCTGCTGCGACGAGCAAGGTGCATAATTCAAAACCTCCAGGACGCCATTTAAACCACCGCCCCCCCAACTTTCCCTCCTCCCAGGAGATTGTCGAGTGTTGCACCGAATCCTTCCTCTACGCCATAAAGGAGGCGTCCGACATATCCACAGGATACAGTGGCGCCACCGAGAACCAGAGCGTTGACGACACGCAGGTGACCGCCTTCGGCTGCCAGCTGCAGCGCGCCCTTTAGGCGGGAGTGAGGAGACTCGAGGTCCGCTCCCCTCTCCACGAGAAAACCAACAACATTATTGTGCCCACAGCCAGCTGCAAATTGGAGGGCAGTTTGTCCACACTTCTCGCCATTTTTGTTGATTTCAGCGCCATGGTTCAGCAGCTCGCAGACGACACTCTTGTGGCCTTCGCGGGCTGTAAGCATCAGCGCTGTTTTCCCCCCACCCTGGAAATCATCCGTGCCCTTTCCCTCGTTCGACACCAATAGCTCCACCACGTCCTCAGCTCGCCCGTCCTCCTAAGCTACGTGAAGAGGAGAGTACCCGGCATCGATTCGCGCCCTCTCGAGCTTTTTCAGAAGACTCGACTCCGGCTGCTGATCAGACATGTGGATTACGGAATCGATTTTCGGGCATTAAATTACGACGAGTGATCGGATTGACTTCATCTTTTTTTTGAAATCATCCCACTGACCAGGTCAACACACCTGCCGAGTTTCATTGATCAACTCTAAATCCTATACAATAAGTACTAGACTTTGCGACTACTAGGCAGGGTAGAAATTCAGTGTTAAGGGGCAGTTTCGCGCATGGGGCGTTCGACATCAAGAAATGAACCGATTGAGCCACAAAGTCACGGACAGGTGTTCATAGTGCTACAAACCACACACACAAAAATGGAGGGGCTATCTGTTTCGTTTGACTCCGCAACCGGCTCGGGCAATAATGGCGCAAAACCCCCCACATCAGCAAGGGGTGCCTAAAAAATGTATAGGGTGTGTACACAACCATATGGTGAAAAACGAGCGTAATGAACACACCGTTCATCCCAAAATCAAGAGTGAAGAGAGACTTGGAACATTGCAAACATCAAACTAGTGGAAAGAGTGGATAGCAACACCGAAAGGGGTGCCTACCGAGGGCATTGGTCCAATGCATCAATCAACCTGACGCCTGCCCCGACCACTCAAGATGAGGACGGTGCAACAGAAGCAACTACTGGTTCTCTAGACACGAGCTCGGCCTGCACCTGAAACTTCCCATGAAGCTCCACATCCATCTCCTTGCCGCTCCTGTAATCAAGCGCCCTCTCCAAACACTCCTTATGTGTCACCCGTCTTTGCTCCGAATCCACAGAGGCCAGTGCCGCGGGGACGGAGCAGATGTATCGCCCCGCACAGGTGTTTCGAAAAACTACTCCATCCCTCTGTATTTTTGTCCAATCTATGGGGCCCCCGATAAGAGGCAAGCTCGGCCTGACAACCTCACAAGCCAACCTGGGAGTCACCGCTAAGGAGTGTTTAGAGGGACCGCTTGGCTACAGGAGCGATAAGGGGTTGGGTGTGGAGCTTGGGGCACAGATTTCAGGTGCGTGGACGGGCTGCTGTGTGCATCCCCGGTGTCTAATTTTGTGGGTTACTCACAACGTTATCCTCTTTCTATCGCGTGGTTGCACGCTCTCTCTGACAGATTGCCACGTTACACCGTGCAGGCCAACAGCGTTCCTCGGCTGCTGAGTACTTCCAAGACCGAAGATCTCAGCATGGGGGTTTGCAATATCTCCATGCGTGTTACGAAGACCGACGCGGCAGTTATCTCGCAAGGGCGGTGCGTAAAACATATCCAAGATCCGAATCAGAGAGTGCCGTGTGTTTTCACACACTCAGTTTATGTCCCGCTTTTGCTGATGAACGAACATAACCTTCGTTGCTTATGTGATTTCGTTCCATTCAGGTCCCGTGTGGGTGGGTTGTTACTGAGGACCGAGAGGAGACCGATGAGCAACACCACAAGCGCATGGCCGACAACCGTAAATTCTTCACGCGCATCTTCTTCACAAACAAGGTAAATTTGAAGTTTGTATTGGCACGTGCTTTCAAAACATCCGAACCACTTATTTAGGAGTGTCATATGTGTGCACTGCCGCTCGACGAAGTGCATTAACACATGTCCCGAATCTCGTTGCCCCGATTATTCTCGTTTTTGCTTCAAGGCTCTGAAAGAGCACGTCCGTTCGAGGTTCGGCAAAACACCTGCGGAGGTTGCTCGGTTGATGTGCAGCGTGGGTCCCTACGAAGACAAACCCATTACCACATCGGTTCATGGAACATCCCGTGATTTCCCCCCATACGGCCCGACGTTCGCATCCGTGTTGTGCTTCGCTATGCACGTACCGGAGAATGAGCGCGAGATGCTTTTGACCACCGCGATTGGCTGCTTTTGTGAAACCAGATATCCTTCCTTCTTTGACATTTTACCAAGAAAGGGGTGGCCGCAATTCCGTCTTTTCTGGACGGGTCACCCGCATTTCATACGCTCAATGGAGACCAATAGGCTCGCTGGGCGGCACTGGCCGTCACGGGTTGCGGTCCAGCAGCTGCCAAAGGGGCCATACCTACCCATCCCCGGACCGATCGCACCGCAGCAGCACAAATGGCCGGCGCAGCAGCAGTACCCCGCCTTTGATGCACCCGACAATGCCGGAACGATCGCACCGCAGCAGCACACTTGGACAGCACCGCAGCAGCACAGCTGGCCACCTCCGCCCGGGCACGCCGGAGCGATCTGGCGAGATGACACGGTAGCGGCAAAGAAGAAGCCTAGGCTGAATGATGCGGGAGAGACTGGCAGCAGCGGCGGCAAGAGTTCGAGTGCATTCCTAACCCTAACCCAGCAAATCGTTCACCTACACGAAGAAGACCTCGCCGCCGAGAGGGAGAAAGCCGACCAAGCCTTGAGGGCCGCAAGAGATCAGCTGGCTGTCGCAAATAAAGCAAAGCAAGACGAGGTTGCAAAGCGGATGAAGGCCGAACTCCAACTGGCTGCAGCAAAGCAAGAGTCGGACCACCAGCTGGCCTTAGAGGTGGGGAAGCGGCAGGAGGTCACCGAACAACACAACGCCGAGAAGGAAAAGTGGGGTCTAGCGCTGGCCTCGGAGGTGGGGAAGAGGCAGGAGGTCACCGAACAACACAACGCCGAGAAGGAAAAGTGGGGTCTAGCGCTGGCCTCGGAGGTGGGGAAGAGGCAGGAGGTCACCGAACAACACAACGCCGAGAAGGAAAAGTGGGGTCTAGCGCTGGCCTCGGAGATTGCAGGGAGGCAGGAGGCCGTCCAACAACTCTCTGTGGAACGGGGAGGGCGGGAGGAAGCGGTGGCGGACCGTGTCCGCTGTGTAGTTTGCCTACACCGAGAGCGTTCCGTGTACTTCTGGAGCTGTCACCACGTAGTCGTGTGCGGTGAATGCGATGGTCAGCTCACGCGATGCCCGGTATGCAACACGGAGATCACGAAAAGGTCCAGAAACGTTGTTATTTCGTGAAGACCTGTAAGCGTTTTTTTCAGCTTGCGTTTGAAGCTTACACTTGGACTTTAGAGCAATTCGGCGCCGGTGACACCAGCGGCCATGAGAGCCTTAACAATAGTCAAGTGTCCGCCCATGCTTGCCGGGGGCGCAAGTTTTGGGAAGTTCGTATTCATAGCGTGTTTTGCGTGTAAAAATATACTGTTTACAGTGACCAGCGACAGAATGCCGGCTTGCTCGAGACCGAAATGCTTTCGTACAAAGAGACGCCGTACCGAGTTTAACAACATCAGTCAAGGTCGTTGTGTCCGTCCGAATGCTTGAATCGTGTTTAGGATGAAGCATAGTGGTAGAGGGTTCAGTCAAAAAATGATTTCTTACATGTACCGCCGATGGAAGGCGAAGTGGAATACAGAGAATTCTGCGAATACCCTCACTCCCGCCGCGAGAAGACAACGAATGAACGACTCCCTGTGCGACGGAATCGCAAGCACACAATTTTTCGCCTTTAGACCCGCTCCTAATGACCGGGATTTGGATAGGTTCATCCGCAACGTAAAAATACCCTTTGCGTTGCGATTTAAAGCAATTAAAGGCAGGTATACCACCGAAGAGGTGAGAGAGAGAAGAGTTTTTGATACGTTTAAGCCCGGAGAATGGTTCATAGACACAGTTGTCAATTCGTTTTTCGGGTTGTTGCGAAGCAACGAGAATCCTTCGAGCGCGACGTGTCTCTTCATGCCAGCCTATTTTTACCCAAAATTCACTGTCAGCGGCCCTTTGCGTGAAGGCGAAAGCCACGATCCGGTCTATGCCACGGCAGAAGCCAACATCCGATATCGTTTGGTACAAAAATGGACGCGGGGGGTACACACGCTCGACGCGGAACAGATATACATCCCCATCAACCTCGACCACACGCATAGGATCTTGACCATGGTCGATATCTTGAAGAAGACAGTGTTTTCGTTTGACAGTTTCAACGCACCTCGCGGTGATGTAAGGGATAATATATTTGACTGGCTAAAAGAAGAACACAAGGCGAAGAAGAAACATTATAATCGTCGCGAGTGGCGTTCGCTGCAGAAGAGGATGCCATCACAGTCAGACAGTTTTAGCTGTGGTCCGTTCGTCTGTTTATTCGCAGCATTTTTGTCGAACAACCAACCCCTTTCTTTCAAGCAAAGCGATGTGCCCGCGATGAGGAAACGAATTGTGTGGTCCGTCCTCAACAATAGGCTCGTGTAGAACCGGTTTATTGTCCGGAAATGTTTGTTATACCGAGAGTATACCCTGTATCGCTGGTACAGTAACGCCCCTCGTTTGGAGCGCCACGACCGCGCTTCTTGACAATACTTTCAAAGCCCGCCTCAAAATGTATAAATGCAATGATGGAAAGCACTTGCATTATATAATGAACGAATCCCGCATCACCAAACCAACTCGTCTGAAAAAGTCGACACGATCTTTTTCATCGTCAGAGTCGGCTAACGTGTAATGCAAAGTTAAGTAGACAGACCCAGCGAAAAGTAGACCCAATGATAACACCGCAAACATTCGCAACTGTGCATCGTGAAATAACAAGTTTTTGAGTGCCGCAATGAATCGTGGATCCCCAAACAATTCAGACAGAAGTTTTGAAACGGCGGCAGCGCTATCTCGCACTGCTTTCTTTGCGTCCTCCGAAGCGGTCTTGGCCGCCGCGATTGGTTCACCCAAGACGAACGACATCGGGTTCCCCATCGTTTGGTACAGTACTCGTCAACGCAGTACATTTTTTTTCTGGTCCCGCTGATTCTCCAACATCAGGTTCATCCGGGACGGTGGTGTCGGGCGGTAAATAATCGGGTGGAACCAAGAGTTGCCGAGGTGTCCATCACAGAACTCCAAAGGGGTCACCCTGAACAAAACACGACAAACAAGAACGGGGATGCGAGACGTATAATTCATGCATCAGGATGCGAGACGTATAATTCATGCATCAGCTAACTTGTGTGCAGTTCGCAGAAGCGGCCCGGCCCGGTAGGCCGATGCAAGACTCATCCAGAAACAGGCATCTGGGTTGTTGCGTTCACACCGGTCACGAGGTGAGCCTTCTTCGCGCAAGAGGAGCACACACGATTGATTTCGCAGACCAAATACATCTATGCCAATCACCTCTTCGTGATCATTCCCGGCGATGCTAGGGCCCACACACCCACCCGACAACCTTGGCAATCAAACTCACCACTCCACGTCCGTCGGCGCCTGTATCATCATGAATATCGAGGATCTAAAATGCCGAAGAGTGGCTGATCCTGCAGTGGCTGGTGTTGAATCTCATTTACCCCGACGTTTCCCTGTCCTTGCCAACCCGTCCCCGCTATACTTCGTCGCAGACTCCTGACGACAACACAGAACCACTGAATGCAGAGCCCCCCTGAAGCACAAGGCGGACGTTTCGCATGTCGCTTGTTTGGACTACCGTGCTGGCCCGCTCGTAAGAGGTACCTCTACTGGGCAAGGCTCAACAACTTTGATTGCCGCAGATATGCATATGCGACCTCATATTTTTATCTCACCATCTCTAATTCTTGGCGAAACATATTTTTGTGCATGTGCTGATTTTCTTGTTTTTTCACTCGCCAACTCCTTTCAACATAAAAGTTCCATTGCCCACGGTTTCGTGCGCATGCCCGGCAAATAACCTCAATTTTTTACGGCTTTCTCTCATTTCCAATAACCCGAAGGGAGATCTGGCAAGGGTCTTGCTTTTGTCATGTTATGTTGGGTAGCGGGTGCTTAGCGTCAGAGGCTGTGGAGAAAGGTTGACTCAAGACCTTGGTTATTAACGAGTGAGCAGGACAAGCCTGCTCATCCAGCAGAAGGGGGAACGCCCTTCTACCAAACACATACCAACACATGATACACGAAACCCCCAAATCTCCGTAGATCTGTATCCAGTGCTGAGTACACCTAACAGCCCCCCTACTCGGTACTGGATACGATCTACTCATCTTTTCCTCTTATCGCGCAACTTGCTGTAATAACCTCAAATCTCAAATCTAGATTGTCCATCGTTCCAATTCGAAACAAATTTCCCAAGATAATTTTGTCCTCCGAAATCATTGATTTCGCAATAGGACTCCTTCATCCGAAATCCGTTGAATCTTTAAATATCAAATCATTTCTCTTTGCCCATCCATCCATATGATATCAGTAAATACCCGATCCCCTCAAGGCAGTACTCTCACCGAAACTCCAACGTTCTCCATCCAAAAACGTATCAACCAAACACAAAGTTAACGACGAAAAACCACATCATCACCATCTGAAAACAGAGTAGTTGCGGCCCTCAGACCGAAAACAGACAAGAAAGCTGTTTCTCGACCGTCGAAACACACCAATACACAAAGATACCGGCCCTAAGGCCAAAAACAGATACGAAAGGTGTTTCTCGACCGTCGAAAACACACCAAAACACAAAGATACCGGCCCTCAGGCCAAAAACAGATAAGAAAGGTGTCTCTCGACCGTCGAAAACACACCAAAACACAAAGATACCGGCCCTCAGGCCAAAAACAGATAAGCAAGGTGTTTTCCGACCGGCGAAAACACACCAAAACCAAAGATACCGGCGCTCAGGCCACAAATATACAAGAAAGGTGTTTTTCGACCGTCGAAAACACACCAAAACACAAAGATACCGGCCCTCAGGCCAAAAACAGAAAAGAAAGGTGTTTCTCGACCGTCGAAAACACACCAAAACACCAGGACACCGGCTCGCAGGCAACACTGGACAAACCTAAACGCACCGCGGGAAGATAAAAACCTCAACGAATATTCATGATGAAATCGCGGTGGAAGCAAAATGCGTCGAGGGGTAGCGCCTTAGTCAAAATGTCTGCGTGCTGCAGAGTTGTGGGCACATGCACAATCTTAAACTCTCCCCGTGCAACACGTTCCCGAATAAAGTGGTACCTGAGGTCAATGTGCTTGGAATTCGGCGTGGTGGCCGGGTTGTTGGCCAGGTAGATTGCCCCCTGATTGTCCTCCTTTACCGTCGTGGACCCTACGTGATTGTCAGGAAAGATAAAACTCCACACCATCCGCAAAAAAAATCGGTTCCTTGAGACCGTCAGCCATCGCGACGTACTCTGCTTCCGTAGAAGACAAAGTGACACTGCGCTGTGTCCGGGACAGGTACGAGACACAGCCCCCCGCACACATCACCACCGCACCAGAAACCGACCGCCGGTCGGTGGCCTTGCTGGCGAATTCCAAATGTCGTCACGTGGACAAAAGACAGCCATCTCGAGCAACTCCGTTAGTGACCAAACGCATGATGACACAGTTATCGGACGGACATTGCTCGAAACCAAGCAACTTCGTCACACTAACCAACTTCTTCCCTACAGGTTGCGGCCAAGCCGCAAAATAACCTTCCAGGAAGGCTCCCCGCAGTTTCGGGGGCATGCGGATGTAAAACAAGCTACTCGGGTCCCCGTGACATACAGATATATGGTCATATCACTACCCAAACTGTGGTAGGTACGCCTTTCTATGTCCATTTTATATTCATTCCCCCGATCGGTATCTTCGCCACGTACCGCAACCACGACTGTTGGGATGAATCGGTCTCGAATCACAACCCCATCTTTTTACCATCTACGAAAGCAACACCCGACGCTATAACGCAGGCAACAAATGCATTGGCATATGGGAATGGTTTCGAATTCGAAACACACTTCTGAAGGTCCATATTCTCCGACAAATCAGAGAGCCAGACCGAAACCCCCTACTTGTACAGTACATAGAATCTCCAAACGATCAACAGAAACTGGCTCTAAATTAGGGCAAAAAAAAAACACGTTCAGTGCTTATGTAGCCACGGTCAACGAGAGGCAAGTCGAAACTTCAACCCTAGAAGCTCCCAGCGGTTGCCAGGATAGGGGGGGTGCGTCATCGAGCAGAATGTAGCGCCGCCAGAAAAGCTCAGAAAGCTGGGAAGGCCTCCGTGATGTCGGTCTCCTTCACGTGATGTTTCTGAGAGCTGATAGTAGCGCTACGGAACGTACCACGGATTTGGTATGTGAACGTGGTGTCGTCGAGCAGGATGAGCTTCATCTGAGCTGTGTAGGGTACATCGACTACCGCTGTAGTGACCACGACGGCCGCCATCACTTTCCTGCCGGGTGGAACCCTGACTTCGCGGTCGTCCCTGACCGTTGTGGTTTTTTCTTTCGTGCGTTTCTCTCCCTTCACACTACCCCATGCCCAGTGCCCTCGCGCCTCCACCGCCACCCTTACCCCGATCGGGAACTTTCCAGAGACCTTGACGGATACATCGTAAGAATGTTCCCACGTGTCCGTCGATTCCCACGTTTGCGATTCCTGGTCACCCGGAGGATGCGTTGGGGCCGATAAGAAGGAGTGAGCAATGCGATGCATACATGAGGAGAGGCGTGGGATAATTTTGAGTAGGCGTGCGTCAGGAACAACGGCAGTGGAGGTCGGCCCTGCTTCAATCTATTGTACATAAGCGAGAGTAAGCCCTAGCCTAAAAGGATGGACCTACACAAACACGACCAACGTCCGCATTTCGGTGCTCGCGGTCCGTCCGACCGTTGTCTAATAAATAATGCGTTCAACATACGCGTACCTTTATCGCCTCCTCCACATGGAACGTGTGCTGTTCCGTGTTGGTGGTGTCGTTGATGTACTCCCTCGAATAAATTTGGGGGATAATCGTCGCAAGGTTCGAGCTCAAAGGCTGATACACCATGTCCGTCATTATCCTCTCCTTGCAACGCTTTAAGAAGATGAATCCCAGGCAGTCGATATCCATACCGTGACGCCCATAGATGCCCACCATGACGCCGCTGCCAACGTCCATTTTGTACTCTTTGCTGGGTGACTTGCGCGTTGCGCTGGCGTCAAACTCCCGAGTGGTGGTCTTCAACCATATCCTCCCGCAGCGCGTGCCCACTCCGTTGCCCCAGAGGGACAGGTGTGTAATGATCTCGTTGTGAAACCGGATCTCACAGTACTCGCCGACTCTCCTACCGTAGTGAGACGTGGACGTCTCGAACTCTCCTCTGCCAAAGGCGCCGACCGATGTCTCCACCTCGATCCCATAGAGGCATTTCTCCCCACGCCAAACCCCGATTCTGGCGATTGTGAAGTTTGGTTTTCCATGCCCGTGCCACTTGTAGTCGAACTCCCTTCCGCCATGTCCACCGATACGCCCCGTGACGTCCTCATGGCGATACACCCTTACCATCGTGATGCCCTTGTCGCTGTGGGCCATGGCCGTTTCGAAACAATACACGGAACACATGCGCAAGAAGCAAGAAAGCCAGAGCAAGAAACGGGTGGGAGGCATGTATTCAGATGTGCTTAAAAAAAGGGGGTTGGTGTAAGTACGTTGTTCTTCGGTAGGTTATGCACGCAGCGATTGGTTGCGATAGATCACTTTCTAATGTGTGTTGGAATCTCTGTCGTCCGTGGTATATTTAAGCCAGTTGAGTGTGTACACCAGGTTATGGTATAGGCACGTCGTGTTGAACCTGTGCGTATCGCCTTGGGCATTGATTGGTGGGACAACAACTGTGTGCCGGACCAATGGTCTATGTCATCTCTTATTCGTCTGTATTTACTGTTGAGATGTCGAGGGGAGGGGGGAGCCTGGTTCGTTCATCCGTTGCCTCGTGAACCCGCTCTGTAGAATCGCAACCTGAAGGTTCGCATTCATTCACTCTCAAACGGAATTTGTGTTGCCCCGCGCGTCACATGGCATGAGCAAAAGAGAAAAAACTTTGCGCTACCGCGTAGTTCATCAGTTCCACGAGAACTACGTAGACCACAACGACAATCACCACTCCGGGTTTTGCACCGATTCGACACCGCGGATGAAAAAACAATACTCCGTACATATGTATCACATTGATATGCAACTCCTCGACGAGTTTCGTCGGAGTTGCGGGTCTGAAGCTTCATATTTTTACGGGAAGCCGCAACTGCTTAATACGGTAACACTCGAGCACGAAACACAGGAAGAAGAACGAAGTGACAACAGAATTGTAGTTGCTGTTTGTTGTGTAGTTGGCAGTGGTGGCGCAGTTTGGGTAGATACAACACAGAGTGATCATTAGATCCAAAACACAGGCGCCCAAGCTGTCTTCACCTGACGGTTACAGACTTGGAGACACGCCTTCACAATACTGCACAAAACCCATGCAGTAGAATAGAGTCAGTTCTTGCATACAAATCCCAACA